ACAGGAAGACTATTGTTATTTTGAGGAATTCATCACATATTTTCATTTCTCCTCCACATTAAGAAAAGTCTAGAAGTTTAGAGCTCATTCTAAACCAGGCATCCCAAAGTCGCTTTTTCCAAGGTCAGGTATGCCATAAAGTCCTGGTGCCAGGTTTTGATAAAAAAAATCTTGGAGTTGTTGTTGCTGTTGGTCTGAGTTGTCACTGCTGTTGTTATTAAGGAGCTCCTGGCAGCTTGTGAAAGATATGGGTATTAACTTGCTTGGTATGTAGGCTTTTTATGTTATGCTTTTCAATCTCTTTGAATAATAATAAAGCTTAAAACCCCTTTATTTACTGGGGGGCTTATTGTCTCTGGATCCAAAAGAACCCATTGCTAGGGAGCCTGCTTTTAAGTATGGGTCTCTCTCTCTCTCTCCCATCCTCAGGTTCTTTACCATCCTCAGGGCCTATGAAAACAATAAGTCCAAACCTTCTTTGTTACAGTCCTTCAAGTATCGGAAGACTGCCATCATGTCTCCCCTTAGTCTTTTTTTAAAGGTTAAATATACCCACTTCTTTGAACTGTTCTTCATAGGATTTAGACTCCAAGCCTCTCACTGTCTTTGTTTTTATTCTCAGCACTTTTTCCAGTTCCTCAGCATCCTTCTTACATTATGGACACAATATTACAAGTATGGTCCAACCACTGCAGCACAGAGTGTTACTATGATTTCTTGTGATCTTGACACTACGCCTCTGTGGATGCAGCCCAAGATTGCATTGGGGTTGTGTTTTTGGGGGTTTTTTTTGGCAGCTGCAGCACATTGCTGGTTTATGTTTAAATCTGTGGTCTACCAGGACAACCACATCCTTCTCGCTAGTGCTAAACCAGGGATCACCTATTTTGAACCTGCGTATTTGGTTTTTCCTATCAAAGTGCAGAGCCTTATATTTCTTTCTGGTGTATTGACATTTCTGTAAATTATTTACCAAAACATAAATGGATGCGGTAATTTATTTATTAGGGATGATCTACTTTTCCAGTTTTTATTTGTATAATTCATGACACCTTTCCCCAAGCATTTTTGGTAGGTGGGACTATGGCTCAGTACTTGTAAAGTCTGAATGAAGTCAAATACACAGCAAACTTGTAAAAATGTTATTTTGATCTAGTCCCTTGGCCCTTGATTCTAAAGAGTGCCTCCTTTACTTTGTCTCGGATTCTTCTTACTTTAGTCTACCTAAAAGCAAGATAGCATGATATTGTACCCTCATTCACAAAACTTGATACTTAAGTTTGTTTTCATGGTGGACAATATATGGAATCAAGATACCATCTGACTACAGATCAAACTGCCTGGAGGTTGAGCTTCTTTTAAAGTAAAAGGTGGTTTTATTCTGATCATGCAGAAGTTGAATCATTACTGTATGTGACTTTCTGATTGTCAGTAGATTGCATGTACTAATCTGTGTCTGAAATACCCATGTATCTACTCAAACATGGGTAGACTTTGTACAGAGAAGAGCAACAAAGATGATCAGGGGACTGGAGGCTAAAACATATGAGGAACGGTTGCTGGAATTGGGTATGTCTAGTTTAATGAAGAGAAGGACGAGGGGGGACATGATAGCAGTCTTCCAATATCTCAGGGGCTGCCACTAAGAAGAGGGAGTCAAGCTATTCTCCAAAGTGCCTGAAGGCAGGACAAGAAGCAACGGATGGAAATTGATCAAGGAGAGAAGCAACCTAGAACTAAGGAGAAACTTCCTGACAGTTAGAACAATTAACCAGTGGAACAACCTGCCTCCAGAAGCGGTGAATGCTCCAACACTGGAAGTTTTTAAGAAGAGACTGGACAGCCATTTGTCCGAAATGGTATAGGGTTTCCTGCCTGAGCAGGAGGTTGGACTCGATGACCTCCAAGGTCCCTTCCAACTTTATTATTATTATTATTATTATTATTATTATTATTATTATTATTATTATTATTATTATTATTATTATTATTATTATTATTATTATTATTAACACTGCATCTGATTCAGTATAAAGTTTTGAAATACCCTCCTGTAAGAAGCTAGCATTTTCCCCCCAGGAAATCTTGCCACTCTGGAACTTCTTTATACCTGATGAAGCACTCCTGCTTAAGATATTCCTGCCATGCCTACGTTCAAAACTTCAGTTGTTGATCTTTAATTTCAAACCAGAAATTATAGATTCAGGAATGGTATGAAAAACATTTCATTATTCCCAACTTTTGATTGAGCTTATTCTGCATTATTGTCAGTACAAGGAGCATATGCACCACGACTTTGGAAGTGTTTGGGGGAGTACATTGTCCGAATTTGGGTGCGAGTTTAGTTTCCCCCCCCTTTTTCAAGACCCAGAAGCATTATGTCTCTTCCACATTTCTTTCTTGTTATTTGTGTATGTATTTTAGAAATTGTGTTGTTTATAAAGAACCTTGCAAATTATCAATAGTTCTTACCTTCCCAAAGCTCCCTTTTCCAAGCACCATTATAAAGCTGAAGTCTGTTAGTTTAACCTGATCAAGATTATTGGATGGTAAGTTACAAGTCCGATCTTCAATTGGAGTTATAACTTTGTTAGCTGATGGGCCAAGCCTGGCTTTCTAAACAAACAAAGAAAATGGCTGTCAGACCTGAAAATTGGTTTTAGTAATGATGAAAGAATAAGTTTGAAGGTTTGTACTTTCAGAAGGTTCTTCATAGTAAATAGAGAACAAGCACAAATTCAACTGCCCATTCAAATATTTCAATTATGGATATTGTTAAAGTGATACAAAGTAGTATAAAAGTAGAAGCAACAACCTTTGGAAAGCAAAGCAAAGTCCAAACAATGTAAGTCATTACTTTCATGCTAAAATTTCAAAGTTCAATTGCCTTTTTTTCCTCTTCAATCATTAACAGTGTTCAAAATAAAATGCAGGGCTTATATGATCCTAGGTATTGCCATCTGTTCAGATGTAAGAGTCCCGTTCAGTTTAAAATAGTTTATTCTCAATTGGGAGTAGGATGGCAGCTTGAAAGTAATAACATACTAAACATTTTAATGATTTAGTTGAAATTCACACTTCTTAGAAGCATCATTTTTACTGTATCAGTTTGTGATGCTTTTTTAAAGGAAAATTTTATTGTTAACCGAATAGAAAGCATATTGAATAAATCATTGCTGATTTTCAAGCATATCTATCTATAATTATCTATTATATAAATAGATATTTCATATCTATTTATATCTAATCAAATGCTGATTTCAATGTAAAAAAACATTGTATTCAAAGCCTTTTGCTAAGGGTTTTATGGCTTGCAGAAGCATACACTGGAATAACTAAAACAGCAAATCTTTATATAGAGTATTTTTCAGTTCACGTTTTGTCCATTCATGAATGACTGCAAAGTTCACCTCCAAGAAAATTTCTACCTTAAAATCCAATTGCAAACTTCTTATGTTTTATTTCACTATATTTTATCTGTATGGGACTTTTTAAAAATGACCACGAGTCATAAAAGAGCCAAGGTTGCCTACCCCTTCCTAGGTGATCTTGAGGGATAGAAGGGGGAGTGTCCCTTCTATTTTCAGTGATAGTACGGAAAAAAACCAGCATCCTTGCTGAAGTCAAAAGTAGAAACAGTACATTTTAAACATATTCAGACAATGCTGTAGTTATTATGCCATGCAATTTACTCAGCAAGAGTATTGTTCAAGAGCAAAGGCCCCCCCATCTGGATCCATTCCTGAACGTTATGAAGCAATCAAGTTGTTTGAAATCTGACCTAACATACCGGTAGTTGCTTTGAGACTCTCCTGCCCATCATGAGAATGGAAAAGCAAAGCAAATTGAATTATTTACATATCCTTAGTAATTCCAATTCTTGATCTAGGAGGTTCATTAAAAATACTTGGCAAAAATAGGTTCATTAAAAATACCTCGCAAAAATACTCGCCAATTGAAAAACAATGTGGGGTGCTATTCCTTCACATGGTGACGGCTGTGAGGATTGTACTTGCCAGATAGAAAAAGGGATGCTGAGTGTTGAATGGCTTTTGAAATTGACTGAATTAGCAGAGATTGTGAAATTAACTGCTCTGATTAGAGATAACGGACTAGATGGCTTTAAAAGAGACTGAAAACCGTTTGTGGACTTTCTACACACTAAATATAATAACAGATGGTTAACAGAGGGATTTGAAGATTAGTATAATGTTTAGTAAAAGTGTAGGAGAATTTACTGCTTTTTCTTTTCTTTAAGCACCCAGTGTCAACACTGCTGACATTGGATGTTCCTGCTCTGACAACTGTTGAAAATGCAGCCATTTTCTCTTGTCCTTTACTATGCTTTTCTTGCTTTTAGAAATCAGATGCAGCGGGGGTGGGTGGGATAAAAGCTCAGCTAGCCATAATAACAACACTGCTGTGGGAACCCAAGGACAAGCTGATAACGTTTTGGCGGGCTGAGGAGCTGGGGAGAAAGCCCGCGCTTTTAGCTAATTGGGGAATGTGATTTATGACAGTTTATTGAGGGGTGGGAATTGCACTTTGTTACTTTGTATCCAGGGGAAGGGAATTTAGTTTTTGGGTTTAACTATGTAGTGCCGATACTTTGTTTCCCGAATAAATGTTCTTTAAGGAAGAATTTTGCCTGGAAGTTCTTTTGATGGGTTTCATCTGTTGGAACCATGACACCTAGCCAGGGTGGATGCTACATGTTAAATGTTAAATTTAATTGATCACTTTTTCCTCTTTTCTTGCACACTATTTTTTTATTTTTTTATTGTTGTTAGGGTTGAATGTATGCTTTTACTTCATTTTGTTTGTTCATTTTACTGTTTTGTATTTTATTTTTTATGATAAAATTAAAATAATATGAAAAAAATATTTGGCAGCATGTGAACGAATCTTTAAAAATCATGTTCAGAAATTAGTATTGATAAGAAAACAAAATAAAGAAGACAATTTAAATTCAGTCCTTTAGGGATTGAAACAACAGCACTTCTTAAGAGTATAGAAAACATCAAGAGATATTATGTCCAAGGAATCTGGATGCTCTCTGACGTCTCCTATTTACATCAAGCAATAGATTGTTTATCAAGAAATGTTTTGAAAGGTACAATGTAAATATCCAAAGTCCAGAAATATACCTTGAAAGTTACAATTGGAAGTTAAAGAAGGTCCCCTAAAAGGCATTTGCAAGCATTCAGTTCTGTGCTGCCAAACTGAGCACAATTTGACCAAATGTACAAGAAATAATTTATAATCACACAGGACTGCATTTGAAATTTTTCTTTTCAGATTTGGTAGAAACATCAAGTGTTGCATTGCTTCTGGTCTGTGCTGTAATGCTGTGTGAAAAGCCATGTTAACCAAAAGGATCAAGGGCTATCTGATACCCCTTTTAACTGGGGTGAAATATCTGCAATATTCACATGCCCATTTTAACATTAGGAACTTGAAGCATTGATTCACAATTTGACACTACATAATCTGTCATTTTTCTTCTGTGATTTCAAAATGATAATACAGAACATGCCCAGTTCCCACGGTTGGTGGCCCACTGCCATCAAGGAATAACCCTCCACGTTACTTGAGATTGAACAGAAGAATTAGCCAATTTTAGTTTCCATTTTGGGACAGTTGAATATTATTGTCCAAGATACACATCTCAACCTAAGTCATAATCAGCTATTCTTTGTTGTTCTGAAATAAGCTCAGAACATCATAACCCAATGAATTATTGACATATTGAAGGCAAGTGCAGGGATATGAAATATTACTCAATACACAAAATACAATTAACATGTTCTCATTTTTAGGAAACAAAATATTGTTAATTATTATATCATAGCATGTAGTGTATTTTTCCCAGTCTTAAAAGATTTATAGTTTTAATTAAATTACTGTTTGAAAGTCAAAAACTAATATCCTCGAACAATTTTACACTATCTCCACAAAGCACCATGCAACACTTGGTAATTATATTATGCTTATTTGTTGGGTGATTCCCTCCACCTGCCACCTCCACTGTTGGTTTCAAAAGCACTTATTTCAGATAATGGGCATAAATAATCTTCTCATTGTTCTACAACTACAGGAATCTAAAATATTGCATCCCAGAAGACATATGTCCTTCAGGCAAGGTGTCTAACAAGGACAGATGGCTCACATTCTCAGAAACACATTTTCCCCTAAAATGGGGAAAGGAATGAGTTCTGAATATTTTGACTGCATTTCAGAAAAATTAACTTGCTGCATATTTAATGAAGACATGCATAAAGGTAGAAGAGAAAAGGGGAGTGGAAAAAGAAGAGTTTTAATAGGCAGCAAATAGTTAGGCAGCAACAGAATCCAATTCCGAGGAAAAATGCCTATTCAGTTTAAACACTATTAATTGTGACCAAACATCATAAAAAATACTTTTATTTCTTATCTTTCTTGGCACGTTTAGGATATGAAAGACCAATTAAGACCAATATAGTCATAGATAAACATTCTAGCATAGATCTGCATGAAAAAATTTCTCTTTTAAAAATATTTTTCTCACAGTATTGGTTGTGAAGAACACAGGGACCTTTCAAACATGGAATCACAATACTTTGTCACACTCTATTACAAGCCAAATTTGACCGTGCAATGTGCAACACGTGCTAACTGGTTCTTCAGCCCATGCAGGACACTTATATTGTCTTAGCGAGGGAAGAAATTTTAAGTATTAATGAGAGTAGTATGTGTCTATAATCTCAAATTTATATGGCTGCCAATCTCTCAAAAAGTGACTCTGGGTAGTGTGCTTCAATTAATAAAACAATAAGCATATAAAAACAATCATTATTAAAAATATTAAAAATCTATGTTTAATACAGTCAAAACTGTGTTTAACAAAAGATGCCTCTGCTCTTTGGTTTCTTATATAGATATTTTTTTTAAAAATAGGCAGATTCCGTATACACTTGTAGACCAAAACATCATATAAAATCCTTGTGCCAATTCTTACAGTCAAAGTATTAGCTGAGTAAGACCTACATTAGCACTGCTTTTTTTCTCTGGTCTTCTGTAAAATACGGAAGCGGCTTAAGTTCACCTGTGCCCCTTTTCAAGCCACATGTTTTGTTGATGAGCTTTCATCAGATACCAGAGCTTGTTTTTGTTAGCATTGGTTTCTATGTTAGTACAAGCTCCATGTATCAAACTGTCCTGGAGACAACTACATGCATTTCTCCTGTAATATGATTAAGGCCCATTTTGCATGATTTACTATAGGAATTAATATTCTTAGTACCTTCAAACAAACAAACAAAAACCACACACAAAATCTTTAACTGCAAACTCAAACCTAGGATTTTTTTTTTTAATTAGTTGTAATGAGAAAAGGAAAAAAAAACAAGACATGCAAGTAATCTTACTTTCTTTGGTTTGGACGCACCTTATCTTGGACCTTTCTTTTACCCTGTAACCACAGGCAAGACATACTTTATACATTTTCAACTCTAGGATATAAACAAAATGGCTATACAGGTAGAAACAAACTCAAGCTCACATCTACCTACTGTAATTAGAGAGCTCACTTCAACACGGCTATTTCTCAAGTGTGCTACTTGGAAACCCGGTGTAAA